AAATCTTCCAAGATAACTAATCAAGACATTTTATATTTCATTGGGACTATTTCCTTTTGACTCAAATAAGAAACAATGCCTTGGAATGGAAGTCAGGCAATGAACATGTCAGTCCTGTATATTGACCTCCTACAATATATAAAATGTTTGGGAATTTCTCCATCACACTGTGCTCATACTGCCTAATGGAAACAGAGCATAATACTCATCACCAGACAACATGTAACAGTAAGTAGTTTTGGAATCTAATACATATTGCACTGTTACATTGTTTTTCAATAAAGAATTCAATTGTTCAGGACATAATTCTACTGATGAATAAAATTGTCAAATTGTTCTGGAATCTTGTAATGATATGAAGTTCTAAGATTCTCTCACCCCAAACAATCAGTTTTGCTGCTCTTCTCTCTTTGTATTTATTTTGCTTTTTTTATGCTCATGAAAATCTCCCCATGTTCCTTGAATGATTTAAGGCTATAATGCTTTTTGTGGTACTATGGTTCCCATGTGATCCACAAATAAAATAAAAATAGAAATAAAGGCTATTTTATTTCTCTCTAGTCTATGAGACATTTCTGTAAAGGTTAAAATTTCAGGTAGGAAAACACCAAGTTTTTGAAATTGCAATTATGGCCAAGATTTAGGAACAAAGGAAGGAACCATGCGATATTTAACACAGATTTTTTTTTTGATACCTTCTCTGGATCAAACACACTATAATCTCTGGGGAATCAGAATGAAAGGCATTGCTTCTCCAAATACCGAGCACATATTTACAGAAGAGCAAAATTAAAATACAACATTATATAAATAGTAAAACACTAACTTCAGTTCAAAAGATATTGCAGATGAATACAGTGATTAATCTTCTTTTTAATAACTATCTAATTTATATTGGCCTCCATTTTATACTTTTGTCACATATTAACCCCATAAAGAGAAGCTATTATCTGTTTAATTGATATTCAATGCTGTTGTCTCAAGTAGAAATCAACTTAAATGACAATACTGAGCCCCAGAGATGCTAACAAACTGCCCCAAGTTAAACAATTTGTAAATGGAGCTGACACCAGTGAAAAATAAATTGACAATCTCTAGGTAAGGTGCACTAATGTTTTACATTGTTTTCCAACCATCAGAAAGGCTTAAATACAGGTACTGTGGTTTTGACTTCAGGTACAGTTTTCAACTTGTTGCAGTGTCCTGAGTAGGAAGAAATCAAGACCTGACTTTAAGTTTCCTTTTGCAATTTTATGGGATGTTTATAATATTGCATGGTCAGCTGAAAAGATAGTCTGAAGCAGGAAAACATAGAGCCTGTGCTAAGTTATCATGGGCTTTCTCTTTCTGTGTTTCATGGTTCTGACCTCAGCCATTCTTCCTATGGTTGACACATCATGTTCCATGAGCAACTTTATCCTATGAGCTATTAGGAGCTCCAAAGAGATATACACAGTCAGCAAGGTTTCTCCTGGAGTAACAGGGACATGAAGTCGGTGATTGAGTTGTCAAGGGAACATACTACCAGGATTCTCCTACCCAGGTTCCCCATGTGTCTAATCAGACAGCTCAATTCAAACATGACTTCAGTGTGCCAAGCTATAGACAAGCACATGTTGGATAAAAACGTCATGCTCATTTGTTTTAATAAAACAGAATAATGTGACGTTTATAAGCTGGGGAAAACTATGTAGATGAATTGAAACAATCTACATAGAACACTTGACACACAGAAACATATTAATATGATCAATGAGGTTGTGATTATTGACATGCTCACTCTCATCCTCAACATGTCCTTCATAATTCTTTTGAAGTGCTCAGAAAACTCTTCAGAATAATCCATTTTCTTTTGTCTGCATTGTATGCCTTTGAAAAGAAAAATCAAAGTGAGAGAAAATCAAAACCTTGGATGAGATTTCTAGAATGCCCACCACAATCATACATGTAAATTCTGCAGTACTCATGCCTAAAATTTTGCACATATGGATTTTCCCATTTGGCTACCCAGAACTGAATTTGTTGTCCTGATGATGAACACTCAATGTGCCTGATAGTCCTTCCTCCATCCTCTATGTCTTTTACCACTTAGTGCTTTGTGCTACTTCTCTTCAGTATCATGATCAAATAGAAAATCCAGTGTCCTTTACCTATTTCTCAATGGAAGCCCATGCTCTGTCCTCAGAATAGACTTGAATGGAGTCTCATACAGGAGCTTTCAGACACAGACAACCATAGAAGGAAGCAACACAGGTATGATGCCTGCAGGGCTGAAGCTATCAAACAACTTCTGGAGGCACAAACTGAATATTAGCTATTATATGACCTTGGAGACTCAATGTATAGAGCTTGTAATTAGCCAAATTGCTCCATCACAAACTCTAAGGACTTTCTAATGCTAATTTGAGAAGAAGGGAAAATAAATCTCCACTGAATTTGGGTTTTCTTCCTAGAATCAGAAGGAAGCTTAGTTATATGTTCATTTCTTTTTTTTTCTTTTCCAGATTTATATTGTTGTTTTGTTTCTGTTTCTATTATGATAAATTTTTAATTAAAACTTGACAATATTCATCATTTTCAAGTGCAGATGTCTGTGACATTAATTATACTCACACTATAGTACATCCACCCCAGAAATAGACTTACAGAAACTGCTCATCTTAACAAACTAAAACTTTATTAAAAGTCCCAATATTTCCCATGTTCATATACTGACTACAACTATTTTACTATAATAAATATGTGATAGGAATTTAAAATCATCTAATACAAAAACAATGTGGTCACAGAAACAATGTACAGGTACAAATGTTTAATTTTGCTGTCTTGTTTTCTTTGTATTTATAATGGATACCTCAAGTCTTACTATTAGAATTTTCTACTGTGGAGCCTGCTCAAGCTTCTTTTAATGTCCCTGTTCCTCAGGCTGTAGATAAATGGATTTAGCATTGGGGTGACCAAGGTGTAAATAACTGAGGCCACCAAATAATTTGTGGGAGATTGTGATACAGCTGAACCAAAGTACACACCAATGCTTATTCCATAAAATAAGAAAACAACTGACAGGTGAGACCCACAGGTGGAGAAGGGTTTAAACTTCCCTCCTGGTGATGGGATTCTCAGAATGGAATAAACAATTTTACAGTAAGATAAAAATATCCCTGACATGGGAAAAAATCCAAATAACATACCAGTAATATACTTTAAAATGTTACTGGAAAAATTGTCAGAACAGTCAAGATTAAGGAGTTGAGCAGGGTTACAGAAGAAATTGGAAATGACCTCATCCTTGAAGTAGGTAAATTGTAAGACAATTAAATTGTGGAGCTGAGAGTCCAAGAGGCTAAACAAAAATGAAAGCACAACTAAGAAGCCACAATGGTGAGGATTCATAATGACTGGATACAACAGGGGGTGACAAATGGCCACAAACTGGTCATAGGCCATCACAGTCAGAAGCATGTCATCCATACATCCAAATATTGCAATAAAAGACATCTGTGTCAGGCAGCCCACATAGGAGATGACCCTAGTGTGAGTTAGGATGTCCACAATCAACTTTGGGACCGTGGTGGAAGTGAAACCAATGTCAGCCAAGGACAGGTTGGAGAGAAAGAAGTACATGGGGATGTGGAGGTGGGAGTCAGAGCTGACAGCCAGTATGATGGGCAGATTCCCAAGCACTGTGACCAGGTACATGGACAGGAACATTCCAAGGAGAGTAGGCTGCAAGTCTGGATCCTCTGAGAAGCCTAAGAGATGGAATTCGGAGACCTGTGTTAGATTTTCTCCCTCTGTATTGCTTGAACACCTTTGGGAAAAAAAAAAGTTGGAAAAAAAGATGTACATAAACAAGTACACTGTATTCTGCATGTATTTTGAATTCATGTATTTAAATATAAATTATTTGAACTTGGGGTCCATACAAATTCAGCAATATTTTTCAACTGTGATAAAACAAATTCCCTTGGGAACTCTTTCATTATTGGTCATTGTGTTTTTCACATCCTTCCATACCCATGTACTTTACAGACACTCAACAATGTTATACCCCAAAATATTAGCAACTAAGAAGTCTGTGATTACAGCAAAATATAACCCCCTTTTTAATTAATAGTAAAGAGTAAATAATAGCCTGTCTCCTTTCAGAATAATATTCTAATGGCAATTAAGAAGCATTCAAACTTATGTTTATCTAAAACCAAGGTACAATGTCCCTATACTTAGAATATTTCTAACAATTCCACAAAAATTAGGACTGCATTATATGAATACTACACTAATGTGATGGTTCATTGGTAAATATAGGTATGTGCCTATTATTGCCCAGAAATTTTCATAGTTCTTGGATTCCTGTTTTCTCTCTTTCATGCATAATTTTGTATCCTTGGACTTTGTGAAAAATTTATAAAAGTTATTTGCTTGAATCATATGATTAATAACAAATGTGGCATTAGTATACAATGTACAAGTCAATGATTAAAAAGTAACAAAACATAGCTAGGCAAGGGGCACACGCCTGTAATCCCAGGAATCCAGGAGGCTGAGGCAGGCAGATTAAAATTTGAACTCAATCTGAGAAACGGTGATCTAGAAAAACCCTTTCTCAAATTTAAAAAATAGAATAAAGGTAGATGTGTAACCTTGGGATCAATCCTCACCACCTCCCTAAAGAGTAATGAAATGTTAAGAAACACTTTGTAAATTGTTTTTTTACTCCACCGATTTATTTCTGTCAAACCCACATATTGGTAAGATTTGTGCTGTGAAGACAGATATATACTTTTTCTTTCTTTCTTGAAACTACATTCTGAGGTAGCCTGGACATATTCTTTCATTCTTTTTATGATCACAAATCATCTCCCTGAAAGTGAAGGACTTTAATTGGTCAGCTCTAATGCCCAGGTTTGAGACCTGACCTTCTTCTTATCTCTGGTTAATAGACTTTCAAGTAAATCTTCCCTGAAACATGGATTATAAGGCGCTTACTTCAGCTACCTGAAGGAAACTCAAGTTCATTATTTTGTCAGCTAGCACTGTGATATCATTTGGAAGCAATGCAAAAGAAGAAAGGACAGGAAATAAGAAACACATTTGGCAATTTTTCTGTTATAGTACAGAACAATACATGTTTACTTATGCAGCTGTTTTAAAGAAACTTTCAAAAACTCCTAGTGCTGGGCTATAGAAGGATGGTAGAACACTTTTCTGCCATGTACAAGACCAGAGGATTGATTCACATAACCACAAAGGAAAGGAAGGAAACAACAACAAAAATATTTATATCCATAGACTAGTGCTTTTCAGTTTCATATATCAATACATCAAACTGGAGACTTTAAATATCCAGATGCTCAGATTAAATTAATACTATCTAATCAACAAATCTGTCAAGATTGGTGTATCACTTCTTCTGATATTTGCTAGCACTTAGAAAATAGTTCATTAATATGACCTATTATTACTATTTTATTAATCAATAAAAGTGGTTACTAATTGAAAGATATAATTCAATGTCAGTTGCAACAAAACTGCTACTTTAATCAGATAGAAACTACTACCTACATAATTCAAGTAGTCGGTATTTCTGCGTTATTTTGTTCTCCTGCACATTTATTCTGCAAAGGCAATTGCTGTCTTCAATCTTATTTTCTTCTCAAGGTTTCCATACCAGTTTATATTTAAGTATCCATAAAGAGATTCATAGTTATTTACCTAAAGAATATTCAAAACCATCTAAATAGAATACAATGCATCACCTATTACGCATGGAATATATTAGCTCCATCATCATGTAAATTGTAATTCTCTCTGTGAAATAGATACATCTCCTCTGTATGATTTAGATGATGTACAGCACTACCTGAGGGAGGGACATCAGGTCCTTATTGCAACAATCCTTTAAAATTCTACTGCCTTCTTCATACAACACAAGTGAATTTTCATATGATATTTACAACTGTTAGTCATCAAATTTTACTATTAATCACCTGTATTGATATATCAATAAAATTTCAGTTATTATTAAATACATCTTCTTATTCTTAGCATGTACCCTGAAAACTATATATGAACTCTCCTTAATAATAACCTTTAGGGCCAGGGCTGTAGCTCAGTGGTTTCTCTGCCTGCTGTGCAAGTGCAAGGACCTGAGTTCCATCACCAGTGCCAGTAAAAATTACAACAATAACCTTCTAATGTAACTCATCAGGACACGTAATCTCAGCCAGGCAAAGTCACGAACATCTGTAATATCATCACCTAGCAGACAGAGGTAGGAGGATCTCAAATGCAATGCCATCCTCTACCATACAATGAGACCACGTCTCAAATCTCCCCGAAAAAGAAAGAAAAAGAAAATAAATTTCAACTTGTATAGGGGGTAAATTTTCCACTGTGCTCCAGTAGCAGAGAAAATGTCCCGGGAGGGAGCCCCAAATACCGAACATTTTTGTTCCATATCAATGACTTCCTACAATATCCTGAAGGTGCATAAATCTCTCTACTTCTCTGAGCTCCATTTCCTTTGTGGATATAGAGAGAACAAAAGCCATCCTCACCATGTGTTTAACAAGTAATCTAGGTTTAGAAACTAAGAAATATTTGGTCAGTGTGAGTTGTTTTTTTTAAAGAATTCAATAATGAAAGAAATGGTGCATACAATTACCAAATAGCTCTCTGGAGCCTTCAAATGATGTGAAAGTTTAAAATGTGTCTAATATGTCTCAGCTCTATTAGTAAGGCTTGCCTGCTTACTTCTCTGTGTCTCTTTTGCTTTCTCTATAACCATGAACATCTCTGCCAAGGTCTTTGAATACTTGAATATTTTCAATGCAATTAAATAGAATTTTCGGGCCTATATGTCCATGATATACTCACAAACAAGTGCTATTTTATATTCATTTAATGCTATGTGTTATCCCTGAAAAGGATGAACATGCAAAGAGAAAACTACCAGTGTGTTGAAGCCACATTGGTTATGACTGGCATTTGTGTATAAAGGAAGGGTATACTCATGGTTTAATATGCATTATAATTTTTTATTTCTCTTCTCTGCCAAATATGGACCCTGAGAATCAGATATGGGAGAGGGTCATTTCTTTCAAAATATATAGCTTTTACCAAATATAAGGTATAAGTTACTAAACATAAGGGAAAACGAAAATATAGTGCTCCAGAAATAGGAAAACAATAATTTCAAGTTACAAGATCCTTTAGTTGAATAGTATGAAGATTATCCTCATCATTGTTTACACTAACTTCTATTTCCTCTGATTTTATACTCATCACATGTTAATCTCATAGAGAACATTGATTATCTGTTTCATTCATACTCAATGCAGTTGTATGAACTAGAATTCCACTCAGATGCAACCATGGACTTAGAAATCCTAACAACATTTCCTATGCTCAAGAGATGACACCTGGATGCAAAAGAAATCAATTAATTTTTCAGACTGTGGGTAAATACCCCCAAACAAGCAGAGGAACATTGGTCTTCCCTGCAGATACACTTTTAAACTCTTTCCAATTTCCAGAGTATGAAGGAAATCAAGACCTGATTTTATGTCTTCTTTTAAGATTGAGTTAGCTGATAAAAAATTTCAAAAGTATATGGACAACTGCGAGGATGTTCTTGAGTAGAGAAAATAGTGATCTGTGGTGAATTTTCAGTGCCTGCTCTTTCTGTGACCATTGTCTTTGAACATGGCCATTATTCCTGTAGCTGATACAGCAGCTGCCACACACTGACATCTGCAAGTAGCCCCCTCCCCGAAAGAGAAGTTCACAGTGAGAAAGGGATTTCTTCTGGAAATGACAGGCCGTACTGCTAAATTTTTGAACAACTCTATGCTGCCATCCAGCTGCCCAAATTGAATGATGTCCCTGATGATGGGAAAGCAATGATCCTGATAGATAGCTCCTCCTCCATCTATAGTCTCCCTCAGCACTTACTTATTTCTAATGCTACTCTGTTGAACAATAGCAAAAGTCTTCAGATCCAACGTCTTTGTGCCCACTGAAGACACAGGCTCCATCCTCATAGTAGACATGAAAGCAGGCTCAGATAGGAATCTCCTGATCCAAAATATTATGGAGGATGACACAAAGGTGTTGTTCCCACTGGACTGAAGATCTGGAGGCACAGAACATTGACTGCTATATGTCCCTTAGGGCTCAAAGCACAGAGATCATGATCAGCCAAACTGGTCCATGTTTTGCCAGTCTCTAAGGACTTCCTTACATTAATGGCAGAAGAAGAAGGGAAAATGAAAGTCATCAACTGCTTAGAAACTCTTCATTGACTCAAGAGGAACCACATGTGTACTATTCATTTCTGTTACTTGGTTTTGTTAAATTCACTGACTTTTTATTTGTATTTTTATTACAACAACATTTAACTCCAAATATTTACAATATTCACCATCGTTAAGTGCAGAGCTCACTTGCACTAATTATACTCACACTACAGTGCATCCCTCACCATCCTCCATTTCCTGATTATTTTTAGCTTCCCAAACTGAAAATATTTTGACCATAAAAAAATTCACAATTCCTCCACCCCAACACTGGTTACAATCACTGTACTATGAAGCATGATCAGCAATTAAAGCCATTACACCACAAAAATTATGTGCCACACTAGGCCCCTTGGAGAATGCAAAAGAGTTGAGCATGACATTATAATGCTGTAAGCCAGAAATAACTAAAATTAAAATATAAAATAAAATGCTTTAAGTAGAAAGTGCAGTAGGAATGCAGAGTTTAAAAATATCATTTTAAAACTAGCGCTTGGAATTTAGCTCAGTGGCACTGTTCCTTCCTCAAAAGAGCAAGGTCCTGAGTTTGATCCAGTACAAAAAAAAAAAAAAAAGCAGCATCTAAAG